AGTTGCTGATTCTCTTGCCCCATATGAGAGTCGTTAAATTAAGTCACGCTAGAAGGGAATCGTTGATTTGCCTCCTGCTTTGGCAAGACGTGTGAAGATCTTCACTTTTGAATTTCTAAAAAGGAAACTCTTCACAATGTTGTAGAATGAACTAGCTATAAAGTTTTTCGCATTCAACATATCATGATTTTGCAAAGTGAGCTAGCTACAAAACTTTTCTCACTTTGCAAAATCCAAATAGCCCAAAATGACCTCTTCCTTAGGCATGTGATTGGTCCATAATTATGGCAAGAGGTTAAGCACTTTCATTACACCCTCCATTACCCCCCCCAGGGATGCCACCAAGCTCAAATTTGGCTTTTAGTGGGTCAAATTAGTTAAAACAGTAAAAAAAAATCTAAACCTGTCAGCTCCCGGGCTGCTTAGGCACTAAGTCTGGGCACCGGGCCCTAGCGCCTATTGTCCATCCTTTCAGTTTCGAGACTCTAGGGGCTGCTCTAGGCACCCGGGACCGGAGCCTACTTTCCAGGCTCTCAGTTTTGGACCCGTGGGGGACTGTTCTGGGCGCCTAGACACTCAGACTTGCACCAATGAGCCTAGGCGCCGCTCTAGCCTAAAAACCCATCTGTTTTTTGTAGAAATTTTGACGAAGGGTTTTAGCGATCTGTAAGCTATGGGAGAATAAATATGATTAAATTATGGTCCCATAAATTAAAGGATAATCATTTTTATGGGTGTTTACATCAAAGACTTCAACACCAACGGGTGTCCCAGAAAAGACCAATTTTCGAGAAAAAATTCTGATGAACGGATTTAGCTAGCCCTAAGCGATAAGAGACTAAATATGATTAAAATATGATCCCATAAATTCAAATATAATCATTTTTTTATGGGAGTATACATCAAAGACTTCAACACCAACAGGTGCCCCATATCACAGCATGGGTTGCAACACCCTAAACCCTAATCTTTCCTGAAATTCTTGCAGGAGGGTTCTGTGATAGCCCTTGAGCACAGGAGGCTCTGTATAGATGGATCTTATTGTTTAAACACTAAAATGGAGATTAGATATGTGCCCTGTCAGAATTATCATAACCCAACGATGAATTCTCCCAGGTAGGGTTGAATCGATACCAATTTTGGTTCTGTGCTCGAGACACGTATCGGGAGGTCTTAACATATGTCTTGGATTATAGGAGACTACAAATGACTAAAACTCAGCCCCACAACATTCAATAGGACATCTCACACATATGACATCAAAAGTTATGCCAACAGACCCATTTCATATATCGAAAGAAGCTATAACAAAAGAAGAGGAGAGGGATGTCTAAATAACTTGAGAGCCCAAATGACTTCTTTCCCATCACTTAAAAAATATCTTTCTATTTGTAGATTATAGGGGTATCTATAAAATTACATCATTGCCTCTGGGAGTTACAAGTCTTTATGCTCGTGAGAGATCTTTATGTTCATGAGAGTTACAAGTCATTACATATCTGAGAGTTACAAGTGAAGTTACAAGTCAATATGCTCTTGAGAGTTAAAAGTATAAATGCTCCTGAGAGTTACATATTTTCATTGACACATTTTCATTGTAAGATCCATCCGACAAGGTGGTCAATCGGTCGGCTAGAGTGGTCTACGGTTTCAAGTTATTGGTTTTCATTAGCACCTTTTCGTTGCAGGATTCATCCGACGATGTGGCCAGTTGGTCGGTTTGAGTGACTGACCGAATAAGACAACCAACCGATCTCTGCTACTGTTGGCATTTTCAAACATTCAAAATCAAAATATGGGCGTGAGATAAGTAAATGCATAAAAATTGGGTGCTATGTATGCATATTCCAGTTAGATTTAAATACAATGATTTTTAAAAATATTATTGAAGTTAATATATCATTTTTCATTTGGTTTTTTTCTTAAATTGAGATGTTAATATTTGTAAATTCGGAATTCATAATTTAGTAATTTTATTTCACATTTGAATTTTGAATTTTAACTCAAATTAATAAATTAATTTTTAAAAATTAATTCTGAATGTGCAGGAATTCAAATTTTTAGCATCGTTTAAAAATCATTACTATTGATTAAATTTTAAAAGTTAAATAAATAATTTCATCCATAATTTTTTTCACTTTGAAATGTTAAAAGAATAAATATGAAATGCTATTGATTAGATATATAAATATGCTAGAATTATGTGTATGCTAGGGGTGTAAACGAGCCGAACACTAGCGAGCCCAGGCTCAACTCGTGTTTGGCTTGTTTAAAAATATCATTGGTCGTGTTCGGTTCATTTATATTTAGAACACAAAAAGTGTGTTAATGTTCTGTTTATTTGCTTAGCGAGCCGAACACAAGCAGTTCGCGAACAAATAGTCATTTTGACAACCCTAATCCTGCATCCGCGTTCGCGAACAAAGAGTCATTTTGACAACCCTAATCCTGCATCCGTAGGGTATTAAGGGTTGGGACGAAATTTAAATCTTAATGTTCATATTAAAACATCATTTAAAAATAATTTAATATATTTTTATTCAATTTTTTTATTAATAATTTTAATTGATTATAAATCTTTGTAGCATTGTAGTCAATTAAAATTTTCAAAAATACTACTATATATAATAAATTTTTGAGCCAAAACGAGCAGAAAACGAACGAACAAATTTTTGTTCGTGTTCGGCTCGTTAACTTAAGAAACGAATCGAACACGAGCTGTTCGCAAACAAAAAGCCGAACATAAGGTGTTCGCGAACAACGAACCATTTTGACAACCTATGTATATATGCAAGTTTTCCCTAATTAATAACAAATTATAATTAAATAAATTATTTTCATTTTCAAGGAAGATATTCTGTCGATAGTTAGGCTTTCCTATTTAAAATTTTTGGTATCCGATCTTTCATAATATCTTAATGGCGCCCGACAATTAATGAAGCTTAATTAAGTTTAATGGAAATGCAACCAGCAATTTAATTGCTGAAAGTTCAGCTAAACCTTACTTATTGAGAACAGTAGGTTAAGCAAAGCCTACTTGCTGAGAGTTTATCTTGCAGAGTGGTGGTGGTTTTAACATCTTAGATATATGCTTAAGGCTATAATTGTCGTATGCCATTAATTATGGTCGTGCCTAAGGACGTGTCTCGCTCATTAAGAAACTCGTGTTAACAAGCCGAACACAAATATTTTTTTTTGCGCTCGAGATATAAAAGAGCCGAACACGAACAGAAATTTGTTAGTTCGTGTTTCGCCTCGGTTTGGTCCGAAATACTACTCATCAATTATGTATATAAATTTGCGTGTGTAACAAGTATAGGGTACGCCTTAGAACATATAAGCTATAGTTTATCTCCATACTATTTTGATCAAATTATTACGAATACTTATTAGTCAAACATCACATCAAAATATTTCAAAGCAAACATTCATAATTAGGGGTGTAAACGGTTACTCAAGAAAATCTAAAAATCAATGATTAAAATATTAGCTTATGAACTTTCAAGGTGTTTCATTCATTTTTCTTAGAAAATTATTTATAAAATAGTCTAAATTTCATAATAACTAAAAAATATACACATATATTGGTAGGGGTGTAAACGAGCCAAACATGAGTGAGCCCAGACTTAGCTTGTGTCTGGTTTGTTACAAATATCACTGTTTATGTTCAACTCATTTATTTTTTGAACAAAAAAAAAGTGTGTTTGTGTTCGACTCGTAAAATTAACGAGCCGAACACGAGCTGTTCGCAAAAAAAAAGGAGAATAATTACATGTATTTATCACCATATTTACTTGCAATTATTTATTTATTTATTATTATTATTATTATTATTATTATTATTTTACAATCTTAGTTGAAGAAGATCTGTTCTATAAGATGGTGCTGCTGCATACTTAACAATGCAATCACATTTACAAGTTTTAGTCATAAAATCTTATTATATTATTTATATGGCTCATATTTTTTTTTTTTGTTTTGTTATTTCATGATGTCAAATCTATATATAGCCATTAAGCTCTTATGTTAGAAGACACCATGTTCTAACATATCCAAAACTTAAACAAAATGACAAATTCGTTCTCTTTTTCTAAGAGATTAAGAGCAAGCCTAATCTTAAATAAGAATTATCCAATTGATTTTGAATTAATCATATTGAATTTGTTCTCTTTTTTTTTTCATATCTAAAACCCTAAATTAACCGCATACATCCCACTCAATTCTTCTCTACTATCACATCTACGACTCTTCTTACCTTACCTTCCGTCGACTATCATTACCTTTCCGTCAACTTTATGGCGAGCACACATCTATCTTGTTTTTCCTTTGTTTTGCCTTAAATCCCTTTGTTTCCTCCCATCTTTCTCCTGGTGCTCTGTTCCAACCCGAAAACATTAAGGCAAACTCGTCTTTCTTCACTCTCCTCCCACCCACCTTCACACAATTCAGCTCCTCTAAATCCAATCAATCAGTCTTCCAACAAGATTTATCCTCATCTTTCTTCACCCTCGACCCACCTTGCTATGTGTTGTGACTCTTTGGTTGACATACAAGTTGTCAGTCGTAAGTCCCCTAGAATCACAAGTTCGAGCCCACCTGAATGTATCTGTCTTAAAGTGTGGGAACGAGTGGTTAGACACACGAGGTTGGTTGTGAGCTCGTATCGTAGCCCCCGATTAACTTTTTTAATATATATATATATATATGTTGAAGCATGGATAAAAAAGAGATGGGATCAAGAAACTTCACATATAATAGGTACTTATCAATCAAAGCAAACATAACTCAAATATGATTCAACTCCTTTTGTTTTATCAAATGTAAAACCAAACAATTTTTTTAGTGACGACTCAATTTGGCCATAAAATTAACAAAATATAATTTTTTATTGATTTTTCATATA